CGTTAAATCTATCCATATTTGTAAAAAACATGATGTTTCTGGAGGCAACAGCCTTTTTGATTCAAATAAAGTAGCCATTACTTTGACAATTTTGGACCAACGCTATTCAGAGGTTGAGAAACCTCATTTTCGTGATCTCCGCCACCAGCGACGATGTGAGGAGGTACCGGTAACGAGGGTTGATCTTGCTGTGGGACATGAATTTGGATTCCCAAAGGTTTATAGGAGCCCTTTGGACCTAGATATGGTGCTATCCGGACCTTAGCTAGGATTGTTGGAGAGAAATTTCATTTAGGAAACAACTTCAGGGAGCTTCCTGTCGTTACTTGGTATAATAACTATAGAATCGATAAAATATCTCTGGTTTCGGGGTTAACCCACCTATGTACTGTTCATAGATGGAATCTACTTATACTGTAAATGAATTTTTCAAAATAGCGATTTGGAACATTTCTCTCTTATTATTAACCATGCTGTCAGAGTTGTGCTGTTCAACATGTTAACTATGTAATTAAAACAAAACTGTGACGCTGAGTGATTAATATTCTCCTGTAGGCTGGTCCTCCTTAGCTTTATCAGAGACGTTAGCAGTGAGGAAATTTTTAATTTGATGTCGTATGCTCACTGCACAGAATATATTTTGATGATTATTATGCAATTATGCACAGTACAGAGGAAATACTGTTATCATGGAAAAAGTTAACTGATTATTTTTAACCCAGCAGCTCATATTATGCTGGCAATGGAACTCCTGTATTTTCTGGCTGTGTGCCTGCCATCCGTAAGTAAGCATTAACGCAGTCCTACTATAGGAAAAACTTTGTTTAATCATCTTTCGCTTAACGAAGATTCAGTTAAGACAGGGAACGATGACATTTATTGACACGCTATTTTCTTATCTCTTTAAATCATAACTTATAAGTTATAAAGTCACAAATCATACTGCGACTATACGTAATCAGCCATCATCGTACACCAGTGACGCATTATAAAACACTTACTATTTGCTCGTAAGACGGCCCTTAATTCCTTTGGTGACTTACTGCCACATTTCGCCTTTCCTTTCACTCGCAACGTCTTCGACAAGCTGCCATCGCAAACTACTGCAAGCAAACAGATGGAGAAACCAACAAGTACGCTCATCGTCGGCATCGTTACGAAATTCTGCCTGAACACTGGTGAATAGCCAACTGCAAACCGTGCTTTTATATGGTCAGACGGCGGTCAGTGAACGGACCATTGGCCACTCAGATGCGAGGGTCATATTTTCGTGACCGCGATTTCATTCCCACCATTGTTAGGCATGACAGCGGTGTGCCAGTTATCTAAGTAAACAGTGCAATCAGAAAGTCCAGCTGGCGACGGACCAATGGTTTGATTTGACCCAATGGTCGAACAAAGCCTTCATCTTGTTGACAGTAGTTCATATGGGTACGCGATCGGCGGTCACTAGCTCGTTTTCGACAGCTTGCGTTTGCTTGTGTCCACAGTTTCGGCGTTTGAGGGTAGAAAAGAGCACCTCCTTCACACTCTTGGTGAGTGACGAACCACGGGAACGAACAAATCGAACGAATTTGCGTTTGACTAGCGAATTGGCAGGGAGCAGTTTCTGATCTCATGCACTGAATGCGTTTAAGTCTTAACTGATACCACGGTTGAATGCATCGTAGGGTCGAAAATGGTTGGAAAATATATACAGACGGGGCAGTCTATTTATACACAGCGCAAGCAAGTAAATATGTCGGTCGAGTAACTGATTAAAAACGAGGCTTCGACTCGTCTCTCACCAGCCTTCCTCAGAATGGTCCGAACTGACTTCCGCAGTTGGTGCTGAGGTCCACAGCTGTTGTGATGTTTTGAGCTCTTATTGGTGTCCTTCAGAAACGAGCACTAGTCGTCATCATGGCACATCTCATGAAAACCAGCATGGCATTTCACTTTGTGATCGTTCTTGGATTCTGACTATGCTTCCCATCACCAAATCGAAAACTGACCAAATGACCTATTTGCGGCCCTGAGCAGATATGTGCTATTCGAAACACCTTATTCTACATTCTAAGTTTATGAACCTAGCTAATTCGTGTCTGCATGCTCTTTCACTATCTCTGAGTTTCACATGCTCAAACAACGTGAGTTTAAACATGACACTGAAAACTGGAATTTATTGGCGATGGCGTTCAAGCACCGTAATAGTCACTCCTCAATTATTGTCACGAATGCAAAAACCGCAATATTTATTATTGTTTTACTAAGACTGTAAAACTTGACCCGTTTGTTGTCAACGTTGATGACGGTAATTCCGCCTCCGAGGCAATTCACAGTTACACAATGCTTTGCTGAATACTCCTGCGAAAGCTTGGTTGCTCCTCACAAGTAGGTGTGCCTCAGCGAAGAGTTTTCGGTATAGTGTCGTCCTTTAAAGCATCTGCCGCCAATGATAGGTCGCCCTCAGACAGATATTTCACTTTGATCAATAGGCATTTAGGCCGGTCTCTGAGTCCTAATTGTTTCTCTTGCTAGCGGTGGCCATCAGGTACTCGTCAGTGATCCGGTTAAACCGTCGATCAGTTACGTTCCTAGAGTAGCCTGGCTAGAAACGGACAAGGTCGAGACACGCAATGTTTCAAGACAGATAAGGTTTTTTCTATACTGTACAGAAGCAAATATTTTTTAGCTTATTTTCGCAGTGTTACGTTCTGGAACAGTGCTTCGTCCATACTGATATAGACCCAAATTTATTTGTTGTTGTCTAGAAACCTAGTTAAGCCTAAGTCGTTAAGCGTGTAAACTTAAACATACAGGATATAATGCTGAAACTCAAATGCATGGGCTTAGGCTTAGCTATGATGCAGTAAGACTACGGTATTACCGGCCTGGACTAAACCGAAAATTAGTTTCTGTCAGCATCGATATTGAATTATTACAACTCTTGATGGCAAGAGTACCATTATCAGCTCAGCAGTCAAGTGAGTTGACAGATTTGCAGAAAGAGTTCAACGATTTGAAGAGCTCGACCAATGAATGGATTAATAATAGACTTTGTATGGAGTTTACTTCTCCCAAATACCGACATGTGTTTAGACTGCGAAGGGATGGAACGAAGGGGGCATCTGATCCAGCAGAATCTTTTAGCCAAGACAGAGAGCGACAGAGAAAACTAGACCAGCAAGAATCGAAAGTACAGTGCTCTGGCTGATCCTGCTGGTACGCCAGATTGGTTGAATGGTGAGTCTGAGCATCTGAAAACCGGCATTTGATAGATCAGGAAAATCAGTGGTTCAGCCTAAGTCAGTATTTTAGATTTATTATGAAGCTTGCACAAACATTACCGGCTTTTTAACTTAATTGGAAATATGAGACACGTTTTGACATTTTACGAGAAATACATTTGCAATATTTCCAGAGTTTTTATATCATACTTCAGGCTATATGGCAAGAGTGGTGTCAAACGTATCAATTATGAGGTGCATAAACAGTTGAAAAGAGCCAGGGATATTGGTTGGTGAATTAATCACAAAACAGTGTTGGTAGCAGCTCCTTTTATCTATCAGATAGTGCTGTTAAAGACATTGCTTTACACTTAGCTCATTTTTGAATTTGCATGTGAACAACATTATTTTTAACAAGTTATTTAGCTGAATTGTACCTCGTATTAATGAGGATAGCAAAAAGCAGCAGAACTCTTGCAGGGAAAACACAAGCCGAAAGTTGAGTGAAGAAGACTGCCTTGTTTCTCCTTTCTATGTACATAACGACGCCTGTTGACTTGCTGGACATAACGGGTATTATCGGAGTTGTTTCATCGGATTAATTCATGTGCTCTGTCAGCTTTAATCGATAACACGTGAGAAAGCTCAGAAGTCGGTCACGGGCTTTGTATCAGAGGTCAGTTCTATTCTGGGAGGTTGACAACAATAAAGGTGGGTTGGTGAGCTGTCTCGTATCGGTACGACAGTTCTCGGATGTGTTCCTCTGTTGCACAGGTCATGTTGGACAACCTCTGGTATTCGCAGAACTCCAAAGAGAGGGTTCCCCGATCAAACAGTCGACTGATTTCTGATATATCTGTAAATCTCCCTTTTCCCCCCTCATAATGCAAAAATCAAGGCTGCTGTAGACCGACCGCGGCACAGACCTTTCGGCCATGCCTTGTGGTTTGCCTTCACTGTTTCACTTTCGATGGCACATCGCGTTTTCTCTTGTTTCTGTGACCTGGTAGCTGACGCAGAGGGCAAAAAGTTTATAATTCTTCAAATTCCGACTCCGAATGTGTCGAGTGCGATTCCCTCGGTGGTCAATGCTTGTCTTTACCGTGAATTCCCTTGCGCAAAAAGTTTACAGCACGCTGTTCAATCCTGGGTTACTCCTTGCGTAGAGCGTCACACTCAGAATCGAGACGCCGTGTGTTCGAGTCACGGTGAGAGTCAGTCACTCACCATTCATTTTTCACAGCTTAGTCAATGAGTACCACTTTGATAATTGAGTGGAAAGGAAACAGAATACAGACCATAGTCACCCACAGCTGTTGTCGATTTTGTCCTTAAAAATGAGGCACTCCTGGTTGATAACGAAACAGAAGTCAGCGCTATCACCTGAATTATGCACGTCTGACGAAGACCGATTTCCAGCGGCTACAAACTCTTCACTCTTCCTCTTCTTTGCTGAACACAACAGTGAGGTTCACAATCGATACACTTCCCTAAAGAGCCTTTCCCATGGCTAGGCATCACGTAAAGTAAAGATTTTGTTGCTGACAGAAACAATCTTTTGTACTTTCAGGAAATCAGTCGAACCCCTCATGCACTTGGCTAAGTACATTCTAGTATGTTTGATCTTTACGCGTTGCCATCGCACCTCCTGATCCGCATACCAACCAGAAGTGGTAACTATCTTCT